TAAAAAACTCGGCAACAGCGAAAAAAATGGCAGGTAAAAAACTTTACTGGCAGTATTCGTATTTACTGTGCGTTGTCACTTTATCAGGCTTTCCTGACCTAGGCAAACACTTCACTGATAGCAAAAAGGAGTGTCGTTTGCTGCGTTGTTATGAGAGTTTGATAAGACGTTATGCTAAAAAACACAATTTTAGGATTTCTCACACTGCGGCCAGTTTTGGGTAGGTTCAATTACAATAATGTAAACTCGAGTTTTAGACGTAGGTGTGAAATATGACTGTAAAAAATTAGCTACCTGTAAATTCAATAGGTTACATCTTGACCAAAAACAAAACGAGTTTGATATAACCGGACATTGGACGTTAAAGTTACTTGAAATAAAATGTGACGCACCATTGATTTTTTACCAAATCGTTAACAGTTAAAATGGAGGAAACAACCTAAATGCTGGACGAGTTAAAGGCGAAACTAAATTGGTGTTCAACTTTCGAAAGAACAGTTTTATAAAAAGCGTTCGAAACTCCTTTCTGGGCTGAACATTGAACACAAAGGCGGAGGATCGAGTTTTTCAACATCGAGACTGGAACAATTAGATACGGGTAGGGAGGAGCGGGAGAGCGAGGGCTCCGCCGATCAATCAGACCTCGCCGTGGTAATTAATTTACTATTGGGACGACCTGGAATTAGACGCAGAGGCCTACGTCACCTGGCACGCATACAGGATGATCGATTATGCTCAATTGCCAGCCCAGGCTTCGCGGGGCGTGTAATTCATCAATAACTCCCAAAAGGTTATTTTTACACGTGCTTCGCTATGGCAACCTTTTTGCAAAGTGCGAACGCGTACTGTCATAAGTCATAACCCATAACGTAGTGGTTATCAAGGACGGATCTTGTGCGGAGATAGATAAATAAATAAATCGACATTGATTGATGCACCTTTCTTTCTGCCTCTAAGTATGCAATGTCATTATTAACCGTGATAATGATATTTCCTCTCTTATTTTTTTATTTGTTGTCAATACAGAATACATAGTGAGAACAATTAAAAAACACAGAGGTAGTTTTAGTATAAACTTCAATGCTTTCCCAGGTCTCTTTTATGTGACAACATAACATAATGCCAGTTTCTTTACGTTAGTTTTTAACTTTTAAACGATACGATTTCTAGCTGGTAATATGTACCGACTGCTTCAACTATCCTTAATTACTTTCCTAAATGAAAGAAGAAAGAAAGAAAAAATGTTTATTCAGTATCATCGACAATACACTTGCAATACTTAACATTATTTAATGAGAAGGTAATTACAATGATACTGAAAAGGTATCCACTCAGCATGGTGTCGTAGCATCTCAGTAGATAATGCCACGACGCTGGTCTTCCGTGGACACCCAAAACAGGGAGAGCACTACTGAGCACAACAATTTCTTATGAATCATGATACATAATAATATAAATACCTCATAAATACGTTACATATTGTACACCTTATACAGTGTGTCCGGGCATGTAGTGATCAAACTTTAAGGTCGTAATCTATGGGCAATTTTATCGATGAAAATACTTCAAATTTGGGACTTGACCCATTTCTCACAAAATTACGAGGATTTAAGTTTTTAATTTTTAGTTTTCACCTCTTCCTTCAAAAACAAGTGAAAACGTGGGTAACCTAACATTAATAAGTAAATATTTTATATCATACGATAGCCAATAAAATGATCTATTAGTAGAAGTAGAAAACGGACACAAGTTTCATACATTTTAAGGGAGTAATAATGGATTTAATTAGAAAAAAACATGACTTTTTTCACTTCTTTTTCAGTTATTTTCCAACACAAGAAAAACCAGGTCGTTAAGGTATGTTTTATTTGCATTGTATTATTAGTATTTGAGCTATTGTACAAATCAAATGTAAATTTATTAGTCTACGTCTATTAGTTTCGACGTAATTGTTGAAGAAAGATACCCCTTCCCAGCGGTTTCCATAGCGCACGTGACATGCGAAAATGCACTGCCTGAAAGAATCACACAACCTATTCCGATTACTATGGAAACCGCTGGGAAGGGGTATCTTTGTTCAACTATTACGTCGAAACTAATAGACGTAGACTAATAAATTTACATTCATTTTGTAGAATAGCTCAAATACTAATAATACAATGCAAATAAAACATACCTTAACGACCTGGTTTTTCTTGTGTTGGAAAATAACTGAAAAAGAAGTGAAAAAAGTCATGTTTTTTTCTAATTAAATCCATTATTACTCCCTTAAAATGTATGAAACTTGTGTCCGTTTTCTACTTCTACTAATAGATCATTTTATTGGCTATCGTATGATATAAAATATTTACTTATTAATGTTAGGTTACCCACGTTTTCACTTGTTTTTGAAGGAAGAGGTGAAAACTAAAAATTAAAAACTTAAATCCTCGTAATTTTGCGAGAAAGGGGTCAAGCCCCAAATTTGAAGTATTTTCATCGATAAAATTGTCCATAGATTACGCCCTTAAAGTTTGATCACTACATGCCCGGACACACTGTATATAACTCTTTACATAATTGTACAAAATGTAGTCCATTCACGGCTAACTAGGTACTCGTGCGACCAATTATGACAGATTACATCGCGATTGTCTTGTCACACCACGCCGGCCGTGATGCGGATCATTACGCGGCGACGAGAAGCCGACCGTACTATGCAACGTAGGTACCTTACCTACTAATAGCTGAACAGGTTCATATCGAAATGCGAGAGCACAGAATAAATTAAAGACACCTTAGTCAGAAAATGCTAAGGATTCCTTATTTGCATTCAACGGCCGTGCAGGAAGGACCGGGAGCAGAGCAGACTACGGACCGGGTTTTAGGGCCCTCGACCGGCGATCGGCGCGGGCTCGGTATAATCAGGCGCGCCTCCCCTCGCCGCGGTCGTTCACACACAATCGACGCGGCAAGCGCCATCGGAGCCCTACCTACGCACGACAAGTCCACACAAAGCATCCACCCATACCTAACTGCCGCTACCCCCGCTGCACTACTTCAGAACTCACTTCCGTCGCTACCGAGCACAGCTTCGACCTTATCGCCGAAGCACAAGATACACTTTTGGTACGGCAAAGTTGGCGGTGCAATGCATCTCTGTCTCTACAGCAGTTGGCTTCGCTAGTTGAAAACCAAACTAAATATTGAGCAATAAAGCACAGACTTGTTTGATGGGTGCTGCGGTCTGTGGACGCAATGTGCATTCGATTGTAAGAAACATGAATATTGAAAAGCACTCTTATGTCGTTGACGCTGGATCCAATACACCGCGACAACCGATACCAGCACCACGTGTTTACATAGGCCAACTGGCGCAGATTAGACGCATGGACTGCCTAACTCGCACATGTTACAAACTTTTAGATGTCAAAGTTTCTCGGGGCCAATATCACGAGATTGATTCCGCGAAATTGTGGCGATTCTCTTTCAAATAACTTCTTACTTATTGATCTCAATCAAAGTAGTGTATGTCAAAGATTATAAACTTTATAATTGGTTCCATGCTTTACATTAAAATAACATAGTAGGTAAGTAGAACTAGAACTCTAGAAAGTGCTTCAACTATTGTATGTGGGAAGTTCTAGTTTTTATAAAATACATAGTATTATGTGTGTAGATATTTATAATACTACAAAAAATACTACATAAAACCCATCAAGCAATTCAAAGTAAGAAACAGACTAATACATCTACACCAATATTATAAATGCGAAAGTAACTCTGTCTGTCTGTCTCTCTTTCACGCCTAAACCACTGAACCGATTTTGATGAAATTTGGCACAGGGATAGTTTGAGTCCCGGGAAAGGACATAGAATAGTTTTTATCCCGGTTTTTGAAGAAGGGACGCGCGCGATATAGTGACAGACGAAATTTCACGCGGGCGACGCCGCGGGCGGAAAGCTAGTTTATCATAAACTAGCTTTCCGCCCGCGGCTTCGCCCGCGTGGAATTTTGTCTGTCACAGAAAAACTTTATCGCGCGCGTCCCTGTTTCAAAAACCGGGATAAAAACTATCCTATGTTCTTTCCCGGGACTCAAACTATCTCTATGCCAAATTTCATCAAAATCGGTTGCGAGGTTTAAGCGGGAAAGCGTAACAGACAGACAGACAGACAGACAGACAGAGTTAATTTCGCATTTATAATATTAGTTGGGAAGTTGGGATAAAATCATCTGTAACAAATACCTACTTCTTCCAAACCAATATTGTGTAATATCAATTAGCATTATTGTCGGCTAATTACTCATGCATTTTTTCTATTCCATGTAGGATCCTTACTCTTTTTGCAATTTGATTCTGAAAATTGTGAAAAACTGATTGCTATACCAATCAGCAGCACAATTAGTTACAATAATATTTATAAAATTAAAGAAGCATTGTTTATTATTAAATACCTGCATGATTATGTAACTTAATATTGTTAGCTAATAATTGCAATTGAAGAAACTTAATTAAACTTGTAAACTTTTATTATAATATGAATACAGATTAGTTTGATCCTGGATATGTATTGATTTTATTCTACCTAAGATGACTGTGTAGGTAACATATTTTGAATTGCTTTAGTAGGTAGGTAGGTATATCATTTACTTCACTTTTGGATTGTGGAATGCTAACAAGCTAAATTTCATTGATGTCAGACTGGCTAACTTAGGTAGGTACCTACCTACAAGGCTAACTTAATTAAAAACTGAACTGATAAACCCAAACGGAGACAGGATAAATAAATGGTTACCAGTTTAATCAGCATTGTGAAACTTTAGTAGTTCTACCAGTTGTTTCAACAGACGTGATCCTGAGCAACAAATACTTAAATACAACTTGAACTAAATGTTTGTAGAGTTCAGCATAACAAGTATCAAAAACGTTAACGAATTTGAAAACTTGGCGGGTAGATTTGCAAGGTTTTCAATTTAGATCAGGATGAAAGAAGGTAGATATAGGAAAGTGACTCACCATACAACCCCGAAGGCGCCGTAACCGATGGGGCGATCAGGCTGGACGTCTGTGGGTATGGCCGGCGTCTGGTAGTAGGGCGCCGCCGCCGCCAGGATGGCGCCCTGCGGCGCGCTCTGCGTACCGCCCTGCATCAGCGACATCGACACACTCATCGAGACGCGAGAGTGCCGCGCGGGGCCGCTTACAGCCGCCATCCAACCGCTCCGCGGCCAGCCGTCACCGCTGACTCTCCACCATCACACGCCTGACCCTGCGACGTCGGCACTTCGCCCTATCACCAGACTTCGCCTCTCAGAAAACGCACGACAATATCACCGGTTACTTCTTTATTATTCATGCTCGATCGACTATGCGGGAATCACTGAACGCACACCACACGGAACGGGATACACCTCGAGATTTCACCAGTAAATTCACCTGGAGCGACAAGTTTTGTAGCGGAAATAATATGGGAGACTGTTTATCTTTGGCTCTGGCTTCTTCCTGGACAAAGAATCAAAGCAATCCGTAATTTTTGACGACGCGACAAGCAGCCGTCCGCACGCCACGACAATCGAGCGAAACTGGGAGACGAGGGGAGGGAGGAAAGACGCGGCGGTAGAGTGAGACAGCAAATAACAATGGCGGCGACGCGGTGAACAGCTGCTTGCTTGGGTTTGGGTTGGTTGAAGAAACAAAAAAAGTTTGTTCTGGTCTGGGTTCACGTAGAGGTAGACATTTTAAATACGTTGAACTCGACACTCACTGCATAAAAGAAAATAATACCTACTATACTATTACCTACGTTCATAAAAATAATCTTCAAAGCAAAACCAGACAACTTTTAAATTAAAACTTTTTACGGGTTAATAAACTTCAAAAAAACTGAAATATGACAAAGGTGATTTACTAAAAAGTTTGATTGTATGAAAAATAATGTAGGGTTACTTCTTTAAAAATTCTATGTAGGTATGACATGGTAGGTAGGACTATTTGCGACGCATCGCCTTATGATTTTTTTGTTTATTAATTGTAAAATTTAAAAGAATATTATGAAAATAACGTTAAATGACAGATAACCCCGCTTTAGTAATTTCAGCTCGTTTCAAGAGGGTAAGTAGGTAGGAGGCAGCTACATACTTACCTATATTATAATACCTATTTGTTGGAGGGATGTTGGCATGTTCCATTTTTCTATTTTTACGTAGGTAAAATTCATTGTTTCATAATCGACCACAAAACTGAAATAATAAAACCAATCATTTTCCCGCCAAAAATACTTTTAAGTTGATGTAATGTAATGTCAAAGTTCTTTGTATCACGCCATCTATTGGCCAAGCGTGGTGCTGCATTGTATTTCTAGAGCCCCAGTAGAACCAAAATGAAACGGATCTATCAAGTTAATCTGCATTATGATGATCTTAAATTATTCTGTGCTATGATGAACTGTTCATCATAGCATAGCACATCATGTACACACACATAATTTTGTGGTTGTAGTCGGTGACCCGTGTAGTGGCGATCTTATGGCTCTAAGGGTTGCTATCTTAGGGCCGGTTAAAAAAGAAACTCAGTTATCACCTTTGTTACCCAACCACTTTTCCACTTTAATATACATACCTACCTAACATCTGCCAACTACTATTAAAATTTTCAAGATTTGCAAAAAGTCTTACTAGTCCAGTCAATGAATGCCTTAACGACGGTGTAGAGAGAAATCCGTGGAACACAATTTCTGACCTCGGGACTTTATTTAGCCTAGCTAGGTGGTGAACATAGCAAAAGTCCCCGCCCTTAGCCCTTGAGCCGGCAGGGAGAGGGGGGTTTAAAGGTACCACTTTTCGGTTTTTCGCTTAATCCTCGGAAACTATGCGTCCTAGTGACATGACTACTATGAACCAAAAAAAGCTTATTCAATTTGCTACAGGCGAGACCGTCAAGTTTTTCTATATCTTGTATAGTTTTTGCGCCATCTGCTCTAGAAGGTCTGTAAAATTGGAAATTTAATTTTTGTCTTACATGTTCCTATCAGGAGAAAATCGACTAAATCAACATTGAGCAAACACTATAGACATGCGGGAGCATGTTAAGCCTAGTTCCAGGGAGGGGACTGCTCCGTGCGTATATTTATACGAACCAATTGGAGCCACTTTTGACTCCTCATCATTCAAAAACTACTGTGCATTAACTCTTCAAATTTGGCTCATGTATTGAGACTTGCAAGATATACATCAGCTTTAAATTTCATAAATATACCTCAAACGGTTATTTAGGTATTGACGTTCAAAAATCGACATTTAGAACACTAAAATCTATCTATCCCCTGTGAAATGTTAAAATTTACTCGTTTTTTATTTGTTCCTTTGTATTTACATAACTACCTTTCTGGATGCCAAGTCTGAACCTTCGAGGTCATCTGGAAGTGGTTAGAACTTGGTATATAGGTCAGACATGTAGATTTTTGAACGTCAATACCTAAAGAACCGTTTGAGGCATATTTATGAAATTTGAAGCTGATGTTTATCTTGCAAGTCTCAACACATGAGCCAAATTTGAAGTGTTAATGCACAGTAGTTTTTGAGTGATGAGGAATCAATAGTGGCTCAAAGTGGTTCGTCTAAATATACGCACGGTGCAAGTCCCCTCCCTGGAACTAGGCTTAACATGCTCCCGCATGTCTAGAATGATTGCTCAATGTTGATTTACTCGATTTTCTCCTGATGGGAACATGTAAGACAAAAATAAAATTTCCAATTTTACAGACCTTCTAGAGCAGATGCCGCGAAAACTATACAATTTATCAAAAAAGTTGACTATCTCACCTGTAGCAAATTGAATATGCTTTTTTTGGTTTATAGTAGTCATGTCACTAGGACGCATAGTTTCCGAGGATTAAGCGAAAAACCGAAAAGTGGCACCTTTAAACCCCCCTCTCCCCGCCGGCTCAAGGGCTAAGGACGGGGACTTTTGCTATGTTCACCTCCTAACTAGTCTAAATAAAGTCCTGAAGTCAGAAATTGTGTTCTACAGTTTTCCATCTATAATGCTTTATTGACTGGACTATACTTAATAATTAAGCTGCATGGAAGAGATGGCTTTATTTATAGTTATAAGGCCGCCAACATTTTCTCTATTTCCTATCTACGAGAATCTGTCTAAATTGTTATTTATAGGCTAGATAGGCATAACTCTCATTTTAAATACTCATAAACCTTTTATAAATAATTTTATTTTAACAAATAAATACATAATTGGAAAAGGTTAATGAAATAAAACTTCACATTAATAAATATCAATTATTTTATCACAGAGAATCACATTGTGTTATACAACATATTTACGTGGCTAGTACAAAATATTCCTCACAATGATCCATGTTTATATGTAAGTAAGTATAATTTAATAGTAAATACTTAAAAGTTAATCAAAACGGAAACACTACTACAAAATACTATCTTTGTTCGAGTTTATGTAGTATGAAACCCGATTATGTTACAATGATGGATGACATTATATGGCATAAAAGAAATTGCACTAAATAGTAACAAAATTAAATATAAATCGACTTTGTGAATAAAATATTTGTTATTAAACTATATCAGGATTGCAACAGAAAGAAAATAGGTTTTCATGTGAAGTCGGTGCTTAATCTTTAAGTTATTAAATAAATATAAAGTAGTATAACCTATTGATGTTGGTGGACATGGGAATAAATTCACTTCAACAACATAGAAAAACGTTCTCTAAAAAGCTAATAAAATCAATTTAAAATCCCCACCGATAAAATGTATAATACACACGATTCAGCTGTTATTGAATTTATTGATAAATACAAATAAAAAATAGCTTTTCTCAACGACGAGAGGTGATATTTACGATATCCCATGACCATAAAATTGTTTGGTAAACTCAAGAATAAAATAATAACACTTATTCGCAGGGCATAAGAAAATAATTATGTAAAACATGAAGATTTGATCTACTTCTAAGAATTTTATCAGAGTTGATTACTCTATATAATATTAAGAAAATAACAAGAGCGAGAGGTTTGTACTGTACATAAATGGGTACGTAAATAAATAAATTCAATATTCGTATAACGAACTAACACATTATTGTCTATATACACCTATTTATAAATTGGACTGGACCGAATCATTTGGGATTCGTTTGATACCAATATTAAAATGTATAGGTAATACGTACACAGCATACATTCTAAACATTATCATACTTCTATTCATACAACTAACGGACACATAGAACAGCCTGTTGTTACTTGGTTTGTTGTAATGACATTAATTTGATGATTCAACGCTCGTAAGTCGATTCTAAATACTAAGATGATTGAATTTAATCAGAGGCTTATGTATTCTTAGTTGGAACCAAATGAGCGTGGTCATTTTAAAATTTATACTTGATGCCGGTATTGTGAAATGAAGCTCAAAGCGCCGTTCAATTTCAAGTTTAGATCTAATGATATCTGTAATTAGTTGAATGCCAATATTTGAACCAATCACAAGATTGTTTCTAGTGTATGTAGATTCATATTTGAGTGTCGTTTCACAATAGGAGTTTGAATACGCCAAGAGCCTATTCCATGTGTGCGTTGTTCTTCTATGTGATACTGAATAAAATAGATAATTCGTATCATTATTTTAGGCTTTTGTTTTAACCTGATTCTATTCATACCAGCAGTCATGCTAGATATTTAGGCCTTAACGAGAAACTTAATCCATACTGCAGTTACAAAAAGAATTTATACAAGTATAATAAAGTAAATAGTCAAGTTATTTATATGACATTATTGCATTAAGTTTAATCTCAGATTGTGTTTCTGATATCAGTGCATTGTAATACAAAATTGCGTTTCACTTGTAACGTTTTACAATTTAACGCATTCAACAACGAACAGTTTAATAGATACATAATATTTCTAATTCCTAAGTTACTGGCCGAGCTCGATATACCGCAGAGCGTTCAAGTATGTACAGTATTGATTGCATTGGTATTATTATTACACAACTACTCAAGCCATATCATATCCCATTACATAGCAACACATTTACTAAGTAATAATGGTGCAAATAAATTTCATATCTGGATGTGATACTAAAACGTTTTAACAGAATTTATCTTTAATTAGCTAATTATAGTACACGTAAAGAGCCCATTACACAAATGAAGCCAGTGGATATACAATATAAAAGTGTGAAAATGTACTGAAACCTGTGTTGATTATTGCAAACATAGGGCATAGGACTTCTTATGTGGAATGGACTCTGCAGATATAACAAATCTACCCTTTTCATCCGTACTCTATTGATTCTTTACATAAATATCTCGTAATTAAATTCAAAGTTGACGTGCAACAAATATGGTGTGGCTAGCGCACGTATGATTATTTTAGGACTTTTAGGAGTGCGATTAAGAGCGCTTTCACATTTAGGCGATTTAGCAGCGCAACAAACGCGCGTCAGACGCGCTGCCGAAAATTTCATACTATGTGACAGCGGATGCCTGCCTTCACATTATAAAAACGCCGCTGCCGCGCTGCTGTCGCGCTTCTAAAGCCCTAATGTAAAAGCGCTCTAAAAGTTAATGACAAATTATAAGTCTCAGTTTTAATGTCATCAGAATTTTTGTGGTCTTCGTTGATATTCTTGAGTACACAAAAGTATATTCCGATGGCACAGGTGATTTATTAAAGGTATACCCATATTGGGAGGTGATATAATATACCTTATAATTAACACAGACAATTTTGCGTGAAAACTTAAGAGATCAACATTATTTATAAAAGGATGTTTTTTTGACCTAGAACTTTTGATAATGTAATGTGGCACGTTTAATCCATCGTTCAAGCTATCTATGAACTGCCCCTTCAAACAAAGTAACATTAACACGGATTTATTGTTTCACAAAGGGATTTTAGAAACTGAATCTTTCAGATACGCTACTTTGTCTAGAAGGGTGTTACTTTAAATAGCATCGAAATCAATATTATTCAGTCGACTGCTTCCGAAAAGGAGATTATGACACCATAGTCAAGTAAAGTCGATGCATAACCCACTTTTTGAAGTCAAAATCAGTGCACGCACTATACAAATCTTATTCCACTGATCTCAAGTTCAACAAGTGACTTATGATGTTCTGATTGTGTCACGTTGTGTGTACTCTGTGTAGCGGAGTCCACTCATTAATTCGATTATGACTATATCGCGAATTTGCGTTACCAACCTTCAGTGCTTGAAGAAGCTTACCAGTTTAACTTAGATTTTTCTGAAATGTTCCTAAAGTTGCCGCGACTGTTGCTTAATTTTCTCAAACATTCGGCACCGTTCCTGAATCTGTGGCTGAAACATTTGAGCCTACGAGAGTTCGAAACCGGTATTGCTGTTGACGGCATACCGCAGCTTGTCGCGTAGCGTGCTTCGCTTCTGGTAGTTGGGCAGCTTCAGTAGATTGAAGCAGGTGGAAGAAGTCGGCAGTCTGTTCAACGGGTCCTTCTTGCGAATCGTGAAGAAGCCACGGATCACGCTACCTGTGTAATCATAATTAAAAATACGGTGAGAAAATATGTAGGTGATATTCTACGATGAAATAATTGAAGCTTCTTCCTATCTTCCTACTCAAAGTAATTTTTTACTCTTCGATATTTTTTGGGTGAAGTTCAAAAGACCTTAATTTCAATCTAGTTTATTCAAGTTTTTACAAACACTCATAATCAACATTTCAGCCATAGGACGTCCACAGCTGAACATAGGCCTCCCCCAATGATCGTGTGTATCTGTCGCAGTCGGATTGTATAATCCGCCGTTTTACATTACCACTAGGCATTTTACATTACAGCTCTGTTTTGTAATACGCCAGTTCAACGTTTANGGCTATCCACTGTGATTTATAAATATACAAAAAAATTACTGAAGCCAAATATAATTTAGTATTACTTACAGTAACGAAGATAATAATTCTTACTTAATTACTAAGGAATATCGTGAGAAGAAATCTGTCTTATTAAAATTTATTTTCATTAAACATTGTTTTATTTTGTAAGTATGGTCACCCTACAATCTAAACAGTAGTACGATGCTGCTAAACGTGGGCCGCCGTATTGAAGAACGTATCGCAATGACAATCCGCCTAAACGTTGAACCGCCGTATTACAAAACAAGAGCTGTAATGTAAAATGCCTAGTGGTAATGTAAAACAGCGGATTATACAATCTGACTGCGACATATCCAGCGCCCCAGTGGCGGCCTGTATCCAGCGCCTTCCTGCTACCTTAATAAGGTCTAGACCGACGACCTTGTGGGCGTCCTACGCTGCGCTTTCCGGTACGTGGCCTCCATTCCAGAACCTTGCTGCCCCATCGGCCGTCAGTTCCGCGTACTATGTGTCCTGCCCATTGCCACTTCAGCTTTACATACAATACGATAATATTTTGTTTACGTTACGTACCTATAGTGTCGCCAGTGTCCTCGTCATCGCCAACTTCAACGCATCGTATCGAGAACGGCGGCTTCAGGTGCGCGAACCCAAGCACGGGAGGCTTGGAGCACGACGTTACGAACTGGAAAATGAAATATTGTTATCAAATCTACTTGAGTCAACCGAAGAATAGCTTGATATTTAATATGTTGTGTCTTTATGGAACCTCATTTCAAAGCCACCCGCAGAAAACATTGACTTTTAAAATTTTTGGAATACTCTCCAAATTGAGTTCAGTAGGTCAAAAATGATAATTATATTGTGTATAGCCCAGTGCTGTATTATTCCACCTATTTTGAAAAATGTGGCGAAACATTAACAGGTAATGACAGTACGCTGGACACAGGTCGCCTATGCTCAGCTTCAACAGTGGACGTCCTATGGTTGAGATGATGAATGACAGTATGTGTTGTCATCAACTGCATCGGTGGGGGCAAGCGATTGCTTTCGCACTGGAAATTTAATTCGTTTTGCCTGCAATGACGAAATTCTATCTGCTCGGCGACCGGATTAGCTGTTAGGCCCAGAACAGACGGTGAAACGCAACTGCAACGAAACTGCAACTTTGTGATGATTGTGATGAATGAAACTGAAACTGAAAGTTTCAAACTGGTCGCGTCATGTGTGGTCTCTCAACGGACGCTATGGCAGAAACTTAAGATGCAACTCAAAACTAGCAGTTGCAGTTTCGTTGCAGTTGCGTTTCACCGTCTGTTCTGGGCCTTATTGTTTTCAAAATGCTACCTTGAGGAACATGGCGCGTTCATTCTCGCTGAAGTCGCGCTGTAACACGTCCCACAGCCAGCACACGACGCGGTGCGAGTCGTGGAAGCCGCCGTAGTACTGCGTGTGGCGCCGTAAGTCGCGCAGGTCAAGCGGCACGTTGTCGCCGCTGATCAGTCGTTGTAACTGTTACAGCAGAAGGTAGTGTAAGTTTACATCAAACGTATTCGATATCGACTGCGTAAAAAAGTGACATTAAATGTATGACGGATTGTACAGCGCTCCTAGCAGATACTTTCAAGAACTAAAATATTTTATTAATACTCTCAGCAACATGAATTTGGCGGTTATCACACTGCGCCGCGCTCCGCCGCGGAGCGCGTGATTTTCATATAAAAAATCACGCGCGCGGACGCGTTGTCAGTGTGAAGTGCCGCGCGTGTTTTCTATACAAACTGAGGTACTTGCATACAATAATTAAATCTGTCGCCCCGCGCTCCGGGAGCGCGGCGCAGTGTGATTACCGCCTTTTAGTTGATAGCAATCCAGGGATGGACGTAAGGTTTTTAAAGCGACGCCGAGAGTGCGCGCGAGTTATACGCGTCACATTACTTCCGCGCGAATCTGTTTTAAACTTTTGGGAATTGTTGCTCATCATAAACCAACACTTGTAAGGACAAAAAGAACACATCATTTTATGTGTGAAAAATTCAGTTTTCTTCAGAGAACGTTAATGTAAGGCCGATTTGAGGCGGCTGCTATGTTTAGAAATTCATAAAAATATCCGACAATATGGACCAGATTAAGTTAGTTAGCTAGTTCTAAATAATTAATTTTAGATTGACTAAAATCAATTTAATGAAGCTTACCTCAGGAGTAGAAAAAAGCGATAACCATTCTGGATTTATAATCGTCCTAAAGCCTTTGATAAACGCGTTGGTTTGGTCCTTTATTTGCGTGTGCATTCGGAAATGTGCCATAAGGTGGATATAATTTATTCTGAAAAACAACAAACCAATTAGTATTCCTCACTCTTGCACAATAAAATAAATAATTAGACAATTTAAGTAAGATAAAGATCCAATAGTTGAATGACCGATATCTTATTCCACGCAAACTTAAATGTTTCTTTAATAAAATGACTTTCCATTGTCACGTTAATTAGGAACATTTGTAAAAATTAGTAAGTATGTATTGTATTCTCACTTGTTTTCGTTGGTGACAGGGATGGCCTTGCCCCCCGGCACTAATTCGTGTGTTACTATTTCCCCAAGCCTTTCTTCGTCCACTGAGAATGTCAACTCTAACGACGATATGTCACCCTGAAATAAAAAATACATATTATAGTCACCGTAGTAATACATTATTATATCACTCAGTCGATTGAACAAATTAGATCATATCATAGTAAATTAGAAAGCCGTATTCACATTGACCAGTTGAAGTAAGTTCAGGGAATTTTAAGAAATGATGAATACTTAACTTCACCTATTCGTAAAAATGAAGATATGATGTGACAAGAAAAAAAATTATCTATACTTATTATAAATCTGTAGAGAGGTCAATTCTGTACATGAAATATATTTTCAAAATAACTATCAGGGGGTGATTAGTGATCGATAATGATGCCAAAAATGCAATCAGTGTCTGTCTGTCTGTCTGTATGTTCTTTATAGAAACAAAAACTACTCGACGGATTTTAACGAAACTTGGTACAACTATGCTTTATACTCCTGGGCAGGTTATAGTATACTTAGGAGTATCCCACGGGATCGGGAATTAGCGGGAAAAAACATTTGTATAAAAAAATCTAAACCGCGTAAGATAGATGAAAGGGTAAAACGGGATCCACGCGAACGAAGTCGCGGGCGGCCGCTAGTATTTTAATAAACTCTGTTTTACTGACTAACGACAGTTACCTGGAAGTGTTTAATGTACGTCAGACTCCGATAGAGATCGCGATCGAGCGAGGGCAGCTCGTCGATCCAACTGTACAGCGCTTGCTGCGTCTGTCCCAGTACTTGGCTCAGGAAGAACGACGCGAATGGCACGTCCACCACGATACCCTGATAAAATAATAAATAGATAAAAATAGCTTTATTTGTTCCACATAAAGATACAACAGTTGATAGCATACAAAGTTTGACATCATTCATTATTTCATGAGACTAGTTGTTACATAGTTGATAAATCTCAACTCTCTCTTTTTTACAGTGGGATGGGTTATGTGTCAAAATGACAATTTAATTTTTGAAATAAAATATATCTCACTGTTGAAATCGGCTCTAAGTCAAATAAGAGGAGTACTGCATCCCGTCAGAATCCAAGAAATGTTGATCCAAAGATGTTGAGTTGAGTTGATGTTGGAACAGATTCAGCGATGGGTCGAACACGCGCTTTATGTCTCCTCCAGGAACACTACGGGTGATGAGTGCGAGCTTGTCTCACCTCGTAGACGGCCTTGCCGAGCATGCGGCCGATGAACTCGAAGAGCTGTAGGTGGTTGTCCTGCAGGCAGGACGTGGGCGCGGGCAGAGTAAATACAAATGAGTAGGTCATCTTCATAGAAACGCCCGAGCGCGGTTTGTATGTGAGCGCGCCAATACGACAAAATTTAGCGTGGATTAGCGGTGAGGTGCGCTGAATTTTGTCAGTGTGTGCGTGCGCGCCGCATACGTATTGGCGCGCTCACATACAAACCGCGCTCGGTGCGTTTCTATGAAGATGACCTACTCATTTGTATTTACTCTGGCGCGGGGTACAGGCGCTCCTCGCTCGTGGCGCGGAACAGGTTAAGAGACGGGTCGAACACGCGCTTTATGTCTCCTCCAGGAACACTACGGGTGATGAGTGCGAGCTTGTCTCACCTCGTAGACGGCCTTGCCGAGCATGCGGCCGATGAACTCGGAAGAGCTGCAGGTGGTTGTCCTGCAGGCAGGAAGTGGGCGCGGGCAGAGTAAATACAAATGAGTACGTCATCTTCATAGAAACGCACCGAGCGCGGTTTGTATGTGAGCGCGCCAATACGTATGCGGCGCGCACGCACACACTGACAAAATTCAGCGCACCTCACAGCTAATCCACGCTAAAATTTGTCATACGTATTGGCGCGCGCGCACATACAAACCGCGCTCGGTGCGTTTCTATGAAGATGACCTACTCATTTGTATTTACTCTGGCGCGGGGTATAGGCGCTCCTCGCTCGTGGCGCGGAACAGGTTAAGCGACGGGTCGAACACGCGCTTTATGTCTCCTCCAGGAACACTGCGGATGACGAGTGCGAGCTTGTGTCTCACCTCGTAGACGGCCTTGCCGAGCATGCGGCCGATGAACTCGAAGAGCTGCAGGTGGTTGTCCTGCAGGCAGGACGTGGGCGCGGGGTACAGGCGCTCCTCGCTCGTGGCGCGGAACAGGTTAAGAGACGGGTCGAACACGCGCTTTATCGTCTCCTCCAGGAACTCTGTAAGAATTTGTTGTTATTTAATAAAATCACATGATATCCATCCACGTAATGTGTCTGTCAGGACATTGTCTAATATCAATATGTTCAGTGCCAAGACAAAATTACATACAACATGTTAATAAGATAGGTGCTATCCATGCCCGCAGAGGTATAAGACACTTAGAAGTGGGCGTAGTCTGCACGAAGACCACTTACAAGAGAAGAAGAACTATTGGTGTATGGTGGATCCACACAGCTCGGCCAGCCAGTGACTTGGCTCTCAGCAAAACTCGGCAGATTGCCGGCGCAAGCGCGGCTCTGTTACTATTCATTCGCATTCTTATTTAAAGCCACGAACGAGCTGTTTTTAGGGTCCCAGTGGCCTTGGTGGCAACCCTGATCGCCGGTTTTGTTGCGACTGTAGCACACAAAGGCTAGTGATCTTACTGTGTAAATCTAAATAAAAGGAGAAACTGACTGACTGACTGACATATCAACGCACAGCCTAAACGGCTAAACGTAGGCACTTGAAATTTGGAAGGGACGTAGCTTAGGTACCGTAGAGGTGTACTAAGAAAGGAATTCCCGAAATTCCCACGGGAACGGGAATTAGCGGGAAAATCCTTTTGTATGAAAAATCTAAACCGCTTAAGTTAGACGCTTGAAATTTGGCATGCAGGCACCTTAGTAAACTTAAAGCTTAGTTACAATAGGATATTGCAAAATTCCCACGGGAATGGGAGTTAGCGGAAAAAAACATTTGTATAAAAAAATCTCAACCGCGTAAGATAGATGAAGGGGGGTAAAACCAGGCCTGTTCATCTCCGCGAGTTTACATCGAAAACAAAACACACACGATGGCCCACCTACAGGATACTTTTTGACAAGGCCTTACATACGAGCGAACATTGACTCACGCACGCGCATTCTTGTGTATGATGGAAGAAAATGGTATACTAAATACTGTGCAGTATTTAACTGCCTAAATAATAATAAAAACACAGAATGTACTTTTTTTAGTTTCCTCAAGACACTGAGAGGTAAATAAGTAGTTAATATTATTCATGATAATTCATGCTAAATCATGTATTTCCTCCGCCATTTTCCGCAGTTTGGCACCTCACGTCACATCATTTTACCGAAGTCAGCCCTATAGCTTCAGCGCAGTGCCAATCACTGACGTTTGTCAACAAAATGGTGCTTGACCCTTGAGACAGGCTAAATTACACAATATTGTTAATGACATTGAGCATACATTTTTTAAATACCTTCGCGAAGTAAAACTTCTGTACGTAGTACTTATTATCTAACATCTCCGCCATGAACAGGCCTGGTAAAACGGGATCCACGCGTACGAAGTCTCGGGCGGCCGCTAGTCCACTATAAGAGGTACCACCAGTATTAAACTACCTTTGAACACGCCGTCCTGGTCGATGCCGGCCTCGTCCAGCCCTGCTCGTTGATGAAGCGCGCGGCTGGGCAGCGCCGGTAGCCGTCCTCAACTAGACGCGCCCTCTAGTGACTAAAGCCTGGTCCGTGAGTACGTAGAATCCCGTCCAATGACCCCAAGCTACCCATCCTTATCGCTCGCGCGTAATAATATTGCTGTCGCGACTGTGCGACGCGCGCCCGCAGTGAGTGTGCGAGCGCGACAGCAACATAATTACGTGCGAGCGACAAGCATGGGCAGCTTGGGGTCATTGGACGGGATTCTACGTGCTCACGGACCAGGCTTTAGTGTAGACCGCCGCAGCGCGCTGTCCCTGACTACAGTACCTTTGAACACGCCGTCCTGGTCGATGCCGGCCTCGTCCAGCCCCTGCTCGTTGGTGAAGCGCGCGGCTGGGCAGCGCCGGTAACCGTCCTCAACTAGACGCGCCCTCTAGTGACTAAAGCCTGTCGCGCTCGCACACTCACTGCGGGCGCGCGTCGCACAGTCGCGACAGCAATATAATTACACGCGAGCGATAAGGATGGGCAGCTTGGGGTCATTGGACGGGATTCTACGTGCTCACGGACCAGGCTTTAGTGTAGACCGCAGCGCGCTGTCACCTGACTACAGTACCTTTGAACACGCCGTCCTGGTCGATGCCGGCCTCGTCCAGCCCCTGCTCGATGATGAAGCGCACGGCTGGGCAGCGCCGGTAGCCGTCCTCAACTAGACGCGCCCTCTAGTGACTAAAGCCTGTCGCGCTCGCACACTCACTGCGGGCGCGCGTCGCACAGTCGCGACAGCAATATAACTACGCGCGAGCGACAAGGATGGGCAGCTTGGGGTCATTGGACGGAATTCTACGTGCTCACGGACCAGGCTTTAGTGTAGACCGCCGCAGCGCGCTGTCACCTGACTACAGTACCTTTGAACACGCCGTCCTGGTCGATGCCGGCCTCGTCCAGCCCCTGCTCGTTGATGAAGCGCACGGCTGGGCAGCGCCGGTAGCCGTCCTCAACTAGACGCGCCCTCTAGTGACTAAAGCCTGTCGCGCTCGCACACTCACTGCGGGCGCGCGTCGCACAGTCGCGACAGCAATATAATTACGCGCGAGCGACAAGGATGGGCAGCTTGGGGTCATTGGACGGAATTCTACGTGCTCACGGACCAGGCTTTAGTGTAGACCGCCGCAGCGCACTGTCACATGACTACAGTACCTTTGAACACGCCGTCCTGGTCGATGCCGGCCTCGTCCAGCCCCTGCTCGTTGATGAAGCGCACTCGCACGCAGCCTTTCAGCGCGCGGCTGGGCAGCGCCGCCAGTTGCCGGTAACCATCTTCTACTAAACGTGCCCTTCGTACGGTGACTAGTGTAGAACGCCCGCCGCAAGCTCGCTCCGTTAGGCCTAGCACCACCTGTGAGGTTAACAATTCATTAATAACATGATAGATCATCATAATCAGCATCAGAGGTGGAATTGTGTAAAGCAATCGTTATCATTTGACAGTTCATAACGTACGATTATTCTGTCAAACGCTTTGTTTAACTGACTTTATCGTACGTTATGAACTGTCAAATGATTACGATTGCTTTACACAATTCCACCTCAGGTCTCTTCTAAAAATCGCGTATCAAAATCGACATCGAAAAATAGTAAGCGTGTGACGCGTTTCCACACGAACGACGGGGAGCGGACACTCGCTCTATGCGCCCACGCAAGAGTTAGCGAAGACCCTTAGAGTATTCTCCACTGCAGGAGCATAGCTGGTAGTTACCAGAAGCTTCGCACTTGCTACATTGGCCAGAAGAGTTGGAAAGGCCTAATCTTCGTCCATTTGTCCCATAGATCCTTTTTAAATATCCACGAGAAGAGTGGGAGTGGACTTAAGCTACGCTGCTGGAAGCATTATTTTTATGATAGAATCAATCTTTTTACCCTTACCTTTTCATCAGCTACAGCACGCCTGAAGAGTCTGACTCTTTCTCCATGAGCGATCATGTGGGGAGTTTTTTGCACCAGAACCTAAAACAAAACAATAAGGTCGTTGATAAAATGATAAAAGTAATGCAATGCAGATGCACAATACGTAATATGTGATTTTGCATGACTTTTTCCAATAGTTTAAGGTCATTTGGCTAGTCCAGTGACAAAACGATCGGAATTTGACGTTTGACTGAACAACTTGCATGACGTTTCTTGAATATGAAAACTGTTGGCAGTAGCTTTGTCTTCGGCAATGTGACACCTGTCTACACTCCTACAGGTTATCTTCTCATCGGGTCTCTCTCTCCGATTATGATATACTAGCATTACATAGCTCACCTACTGCGGCTTCTTGCCCATGTCCAGGCCGGCCATGAATTGCTAGTCGCGGATGTCCCGCAAGAGCCGGTACTACGGCGGCGTGTGTGGATGGAGATTAGATGACCTGATGATGAACTATGATGATGATGATGAGTAGGTCTCACCCGCTGCGGCTTTTTGCCCTTATCCAGGTCAGCCATGAACTATGAGTTACAGATGTCCCGCAAACGCCTAATGTTAATATTTTTGGCATTGAAGTATAAATAAATAAACGCCGGTACTGCGGCGGCGTGTGTGGATGGAGATTAGATGACTTGATGATAAACCATGATGATGATGAGTAGGCCTCACCTGCTGCGGCTTCTTGCCCTTGTCCAGGTCGGCCATGAACTGCGAGTCGCGGATGTCTCTGACTATAGTCTGGTCTGCCTGTGAGCACGTAGAATTTTGTCCAATGACCCCAAGCTACCCATCCTTATTGCTCGCGCGTAATTATGTTGCTGTCGCGCTCGCACACTCACTGCGGCCGCCCGTCGCACAGTCGCGACAGCAATATAATTACGCGCGAGCGATAAGGATGGGTAGCTTGGGGTCATTGGACAAAATTCTACGTGCTCACGGACCAGGCTTTAGTCAGTATTGCGAAGGCATATGCGGAAACTAAAAGACCTAATGATGATGCTGCGGACGATGATAGATCTCACCTGCTGCGGCTTCTTGCCCTTGTCCAGGTCGGCCATGAACTGCAAGTCACGACTCACGAATTTCTCAGACCAGCCAGTGCTGCGGCGGCGTATACGGAAACCAAAAGACCTGATGATTATGATGAACTATGATGGTGATGATGAGTAGGTCTCACCTGCTGCGGCTTCTTGCCCTTGTCCAGGTCGGCCATGAACTGCGAGTGGCGGATGTCTCTGACAAGCCAGTGTTGCGATGGCATTATGCGGAAACTAAAAGACCTAATGATGATGCTGAGGACGATGATAGGTCTCACCTGCTGCGGCTTCTTGCCCTTGTTCAGGTCGGCCATGAACTGCGAGTCGCGGATGTCTCTGACTATAGTCTGGTCTGTAAGCACGTAGAATTTTGTCCAATGACCCCAAGCTACCCATCCTTATTGCTCGCGCGTAATTATGTTGCTGTCGCGCTCGCACACTCACTGCGGCCGCCCGTCGCAGTCGCGACAGCAATATAATTACGCGCGAGCGATAAGGATGGGTAGCCTGGGGTCATTGGACAAAATTCTACGTGCTCACGGACCAGGCTTTAGTCAGTATTGCGAAGGCATATGCGGAAACTAAAAGACCTCACGATGATGGTGATGGACGATGAGTAGATCTCATCTGCTGCGGCTTCTTGCCCTTATTCAGGTCGACCATGAACTATGAGTTGCAGATGTCCCGCAAACGCCGGTATTACGGCGGCGTGTGTGGATGGAGATTAGATGACCTGATGAGGAGATGGTCTCACCTGCTGCGGCTTCTTGCCCTTGTTCAGGTCGACCATGAACTATGAGTTACAGATGTCCCGCAAAAGCCGGTATTACGGCGGCGTTTGTGGATGGAGATTAGATGACCTGATGAGGAGATGGTCTCACCTGCTGCGGCTTCTTGCCCTTGTCCAGGTCGGCCATGAACTGCGAGTCGCGGATGTCTCTGACTATAGTCTGGTCTGTGAGCACGTAGAACTTTGTCCAATGACCCCAAGCTACCCATCCTTATTGCTCGCGCGTAATTATGTTGCTGTCGCGCTCGCACACTCACTGCGGCCGCCCGTCGAACAGTCGCGACAGCAATATAATTACGCGCGAGCGATAAGGATGGGTAGCTTGGGGTCATTGGACAAAATTCTACGTGCTCACGGACCAGGCTTTAGTCAGTATTGCGAAGGCATATGCGGAAACTAAAAGACCTAATAATGATGCTGAGGACGATGATAGGTCTCACCTGCTGCGGCTTCTTGCCCTTGTCCAGGTCGGCCATGAACTATGAGTTACAGATGTCCCGCAAACGCCGGTACTGCGGCGGCATGTGTGTATGGAGATTAGATGACCTGATGAGGAGATGGTCTCACCTGCTGCGGCTTTTTTCCCTTGTCCAGGTCGGCCATGAACTGCGAGTCACGACTCACGAATTTCTCTGATCAGCCAGTGCTGCGGCGGCGTATACGGAAACCAAAAGACCTGATGATGATGATGGTGAACTATGATGGTGATGATGAGTAGGCCTCACCTGCTGCGGCTTCTTGCCCTTGTCCAGGTCGGCCATGAACTATGAGTTACAGATGTCCCGCAAACGCCGGTACTGCGGCGGCATATGCGGAAACTAAAAGACCTAATGATGATGCTGAGGACGATGATAGGTCTCACCTGCTGCGGCTTCTTGCCCTTGTCGGCCATGAACTGCAAGTCGCGAAAGGTCTCGCACCAACAATTGCTGCAGCGGCGTATGCGGAAACTAAAAGACCTCATGATGATGGTGATGATGAGTAGGTCTCACCTGCTGCGGCTTCTTGCCCTTGTCCAGGTCGGCCATGAACTGCGAGTCGCGGATGTCTCGGACCAGCCAGTGCTGCGGCGGCGTGTAGGCGCGCCGGCAATCGCGCCGGTATAGCACCAGGAGTAATGTGTGAACACAGCTGAAGAGCTCGTTGCTTTGGATAGTCTTGAGGTCTAGAGAGCAATGTTTATTGAAATAACTCTACAAAGTTTTTATCCAGTCAAGATCTAAAAGAGCGTGTTGGCCTCAAGGTAGTGACTAACGTTGAAACCATGTAAGTATGTATATTAATTTGTACTAGACTATAGATAGGACTGCATAGTGAGCTATACATGATAGGTCCATTTGAAAGCACTGTTTGCCCGACCACTACTTCGTGACGGCATATCAGCTGGTGCTGAGAAGTGGCCGAAGAGACACAAGCCCGTTTTCACCATCAATCCCTATTTTTTAAGTGACCCCTATGGTAACATATAACAGGAATTTTGTTTTCACAGGGGTCACTAACTATGTGTCTAATTTACATTCTCCTTCAGGGTCTACTTCCACTTTGATTTACATTATTATTGAAATAAAAAAATATACTCTGGCACTAACAGTTAAGGCTCAATATCCTTTTTAAGGCACGGATGCTCACCAAACAGCTGGCCCATGATGGACTTGTAGACGAACATGTTGAGGAAGTGCGACATGTTGACGAAGTCCTGCAGCTTGAACGGCTCCTGCTGCTCGTACATCTCCATGTCGTCCAGGATCCTGCACCATAACAAGCCATGTTAATATATGAAAGAACAGTTAAAGAAAATAACTTTATTTTGGCCACAACAGATTCTGGCAACAAAGACATACACAAAAAAAAAACTAAGTTGCCCAAAAAGGTCACCCACTCAGTAACATCTTGACAGTGTGACTGCCAAGACACTGATTTTCAGACAGTTGACAGCACATTACACAATACACCTCTCGACCTCTCGATTATATTCGTGCATCGGTTGCAGATGGACGTGCCATCTGCAATAATTATTGTATAATTTTCACAATACAGTCTATAAATCTGTGTCAGAATAAAGTTGTGTCAGCGTATGTCCGTCATGCACGCTCTGACACACTTACTAAGTGTTACAGTGTTGTTTACTGAATTGTAATAAAACAATGGATTGTCCCTTCAATAGAAGTAAAATGACTAGCCGAAGCCCGCCTCCACCGCAGAGGAGATCAACTGAGAGAGATTCAACCCCCACACCATCAGTCGTCGAGGTTGTATCAACCCAAGAAATCCAGCAATGGATATCGTCCATTGAACTATGCCTTAAAGAAATATGCAATATTTCAGCAGAAGGCAAACTGAACTCGGACCAGAAACTGAGAACCAGCAACAACAGCAGAAAAGTGATAAGCGGCGTGTCTCAACTAGCTGTGCAATATCAGTCCCTGAAACAAAAATACATATCAGCCCAAACAATGATCAATACTTTAACTGAACAAAAGGAGTCATTTNGCTTTTTTGCTCGACTTGGTGGGGGCACTGCCGTGCCCCCAGATTCTGGTAGAGAGAAATAAGTCTTTCTCGTCACAAATATTAGGCTTAGGTATTTCTTCAAGGACAAAATATCAGAGTATCCTTTGTAAATAATATTAAAATAGATCATAAGCCCTAACAGGTAGCATTTAAGTAAACAATAAAGCCGCTGTCAAGAAAAGGAGAATTTACTTTGGGACTTTAATCAAACATAAATCAGTTAGCAACAATAAAAGGATGGCCAACACTCGGATCTTAAGCGAATATCTGTTTCCTTAGCAAACATTTACCTCTTGAGGCATACCTACGGAGAGCACTCTAATGGGTATGGACTATGGACGGAACAAGGACACTCCATTGTGGACCTTACTGCTTTGATTTACAATCTAACGGATGGCAAGATTAATCTGAGCCTAGAGCGCTCTACCTCGCTAGTAACCGCTTTTAGCTAACTAGTTACTTCTTTAAGGCAAGTTTACACCAAGTGGCGAGTGCTGCTTGTTTTTTATTGTACAGGACTTTGATACGGTTACTGAGTCTGGAAGGAGTATTTTTTATTTATTTTAGCTAAAAGCTTGTTTTTTTTATAGAGCAGCTAAAAGGTAATTGCAACTTTTTGAATCTCATATTAAAATTTAGCCTAAGTAGGTAAAACGAGGTGCATATTGACTTTAGCTAGCCAAGGTCGCTCTTATTACGTACCTTGTTGTGGTGTTTTTTTTTTATAAAAAAGGCTGAAAAAATGTATGGTAAAGTTTTTTCAGTAACTGCTTCTCATTACCAGCTAATAATTATGTTTTCCAGAAACAGTAGTAGGGCAAGGAGAGATAAATATAGAGTTAATAATATTATATTGATAAGCCACTGTAAGCCAGCAATGAGACACTGTGAAGCTGCCCTCAGCCTTAAGTTCTGTTTGATCAGTTAATTAGACGACCCTGGCGATGTATTTCTGTTAAATCTTAAGTAACTATTAATTGGACATTAAGCTGGCATTTTAAACATTCTATTAATTTTATACTTAATTGTTTTATCTTAGTTTAATTCTATTTCAAGAATTAGTATTAAACATTTCGTTTGTTACTCATAATTTATTAAAAATGAAAATTAAATGTACTTGTACTCGCACCTATTAAAGAAATTCAGAGCAAACTAAATTGTGATCGATGTTTCTCGTAAGTCACCTATTAATTTTTTCAGCTAATAACTTGGAAATTACTACTTCTGATATTATTGTTGTGGAAGAATCTAATCACGTACTAACGAGAACATTATAGGGTATCCGTTTGATGGGGCGGCTTATTATATGTAGTGACTTATAATAATTGAACTGCTTATATGATACTACTGCCAAGGCTCTTAAACCAGATCGTTAATTAGATAGTTCCAACTACTCGAACTATAAAACCATAACCTTGAATAATAAAGATTTTGATAGTGATTATTTTAAATTACGCGTAAGAGAAGAATTTACCTCGAACGTTTCCCAAAGATGTCTTAAGAGGGAACAAAGGAAGAATTATGCGAATATCAGGTCGCCCCAGCCAATCTGGCCAGGGTGGGTAGTGTGGGCGAAATCCTCCATTTGCCTTTGGTAAATTAGAGCTCAATCAGCCTCTTGTAAATTAGATTAGACAGAGTAATAAAATAAAGCGTGAACGGCACACTTATAATAATCATCAGATCACAATAGTCTCTATCTCTACTGCTGGAGAATTATGCCCGTTTTCACCATCAATCCCTAATTTTTAAGTGACCACTTTGAAGACAACATTCCTGTTATGTGTTACCATAGGGGTCATTTAAAAATTAGGGATAGGGATGATGACTGGGTAATGAAATCGCAATTCTATTTAGTCCGTCAGACTGATAAGTAGGTACCTAATTAAAAAATATTAGACTCATATTTTTTTTTCCATAACCGAATAATTACAGTATTAAATTGAGTTGAAATGTCGCGAGACGTCACTTTTGAGTAAAAATTCTACTCAAGCGTGACGTAACGCGCCACTTCAAATCGATGTAGCACTGTTATTATATAATTATGAAAGAAAATACAAAATATGAGTCTAATATTTTCTAATTATCTGTCTGACGGACAAATAATTGAAATTTTGTCATCTGGCCTATTGATGGTGAAAACGGGCATAATTTATTCTCCTGTAGTGGAGACTATTATTATCTGATGATATAAGTATAGCGATCACGCTTAACATATGATCGTTAATTTGTTTTCTCCATGTCCAGTCGAGCCTTCGGTCTGGGCGGGTCGAGTGGCCATCAGGGCCCCGGCAGGCGGCGCTGTGACCCTCCAGTGTACGGTGGAGGCCTACCCCGTCCCGCAAGTGTACTGGACTTTGAATGGAGAGCAAAGGCTGGTTAATGGTAAGTATTCAACTTTTTTACTCACTATTAAATCTCTTAGGCTGGGTTGCACCATCTTACTTGAACTTTGACAAACATCATAAATCTGTCAAACTCCTTACAAAAACCACCGGTTTTCGTTATAGTTACGTGCAAAGTTAGGTGGTGCAACTCAGCCTTACACTTTTCACTTCATCGCAGATCGCATTCGTACTACTTTGCGAATGAAATTTGAATCATCAGCAGATAATCCATTAAATCTAAAAGAAAATTCAATTGAAGAACCGTTAAAGATTTTTAAAGTTGCAAAAACTCGATTCTCAATTCTAAAGTAGTAAAGAATCTCTTTGAACTCTCATTAAAATAAAAGATAAAACCTTTTACTTAAAAAGGTTGTGTTTACCTTACACCCGTATTTAGTGAGACTATGTTTTAAAGATCTTGTTTCGTGCTCGTGATTTGGGATCGACTAAACGTACTTCACCGTATATTGTTTCACCGTGTTTCTTTCTAACGATTTTTCGTTCCGAAAAGCCCGTATTACATTCACAAACATTACTATGAGGTCTCACAGTGCGCGTGGACGCACAGGGTGACACACGAACCAATCACAGAGCTCTATTTAACGCTGTGCGTTCGATTTGCTGCTTCCCTTAAGCAAGCATCGTTGTGAATACGCGTGTCAATCTTCCTGTTAAGTTGACTAGTTTTCATCGAAGTTGTAACTTATCGAAATATATTGATTTGTGACGTGTAACAGCATAAATGCTCTCGAAAGGGCTCACACTCTACGAGTACATACAAAGATTTATAGTTTATTCGGGTACATAATCAAGGTTTCATTCTCAGGTACAAAACACAAACTCAGCATGTCGAGTCGAGGGTACCGGCACACTGTGAACATGCTGGTGTCAGACATGAGCCGCGAGGACGCTGGAGCCTACCGCTGCCACGCCGAGAACACGTTAGGGCGCGCGCACGCAGAGCTGTTCTTACACAGTGAGTTACATTCAAACAGTAGTCTTTGGCTAAGAACTCACGGCGCGATTTTCACCCGCGCCCGCGGCGGTTGCGGGCCCGCAGCTTCTGTAGAATGCGGATAATATACTTATGTAATAATCAACTTTTAAAAAAAATAAAACCGACTTCAAATGCGTGAACACAAAAAAAAACTAAAAATTAAAAATATTGCGTATAAAAAAGTTCATCCCCAATTTTCCACCCTTGGGGGTGAAATATTTTCTTCAAATTCACATGAAACCACTCTTTTGATAATACCTATTCAACAAAAAATTAATCGTTCAAATTGATTTATAATCGGCGGAGATATTGCGTATAAAAAAGTTCATCCCCAATTTTCCACCCTTGGGGGTTGTTTTTTCTATTAATTAATTTAAATGGGACCACCCTTGAGGTATTACCTATACGCCGAAAAAAGATTTGTTCAAATCGGTTCATAATTGGCGGAGTTATCGTAACAAACATAGAAAAAATAAACATACGGGTCGAATTGAGAACCTCCTCCTTTTTTGAAGTCGGTTGAAAAGTAATGCATAACTCACGACGCGGTTTTCGTCCGCAGCGGGCGCGGTTGTAATCGGGTCCCGCTCGGCTGTTTTCTTCCGCGCGAAAACCGTACCATTTTGTACCAGTGACTTAACACGTGGCGCGATTTAAAATCGCGCTGCGAGTTCTTAGAATAACCGCGCAAATAACCACTCCCGTGAGTTTTGAAATAAAACCGCAATTCCACAACCGCCTCGGGCGCGGGTGGAAATCGCGCCGTGAGTTCTTAGCCTTTTCGACACGTCGCAAGCGGCTATCTTCTTAAATCGATATATTTAACTCTATGTCAGTCATTATTAACGTACTGCATAACTTCATGGGGAGGTACTCATAAAACCACAATGCTTAGTCTAGAGAGAGCACAAAGAGCCGTTCTAAAAGTCAGCACTTTCCGACCTATACGCTTTCCGACTGCAGAGCTCCTTGCTGAATGCGACGTTCTTTCGGGGCGGCAGCTCTTTATCCTACTAACAGTTACTAAAAACATTCATTAACACCCTACAACCCGGCACTCCAAACCAGCAAACGACAAGCTGATATCGTGTGTTCTACTGAACAAATCAGAAGATCACATACGATGAAATTCTTCTGTTATCTAGGTAGCTTATTGTACAGTCGCGGAATGAAAAGGTTCGTCAGTTTTCAAATTGATTCCTTCAACGAATCGCGAGACACTAAGGTGACGAACCTTTTCATTCCGCGACTGTACAATAGAATAAACCAGTCTCTATGTATTTACCTTATGAATAAAGTCGCATGCAAAAAAATCATACAAGATTGGCTAAAAATAAAACCTATGACGAAACTGAAAACCTGTTACAGATTTTAACTTAATTTAGATCAAGATAAAAATAATGCTTATTAAGAATATAAATGTATTTATATTTAGTTACACACTGTTATTGTGATAATGTTTAGTATGCACTAACCTACTTTTAATAAAATACCTAAGACACAGGCAAACAATTTTGCTTAGTTTAGGTATTAATAATTTTACCTTCACACACTAACCTTAATTTAAGTAAGTGAAATCAAATGTATCTAGGCTAAGTTTTATTAAGTAATAAATTTATTCTTATTCTTCTTATTCTTTAAATCCAAATTAATCCCTCCCTACTAATATTATAAATGCGAAAGTAACTCTGTCTGTCTGTGTGGCTTTCACGCCTAAACTACTAAACCGATTTTGATGAAATTTGGCATAGAGATAGTTTGAGTCCCGGGAAAGGACATGGGATAGTTTTTATCCCAGTTATTGAAACAGGGTCGCGCCCGATAAAGTTTTTCTATGACGGACAAAATTTAATTTTACGCCGGCGAAGCCGTTTTATTCTCAGATCTCTGGGAAGTCAGCCCTTAATTAGAAGTTCTCCTATGTTCATCATATTAATTTCATTGCGGATCCAGTAACTCTCCCACGGGACAAACTTAGCCTTCATTATACTGTGTTTCAGTGGTTGGATTTTTATTGGCGGCCAAGTTGTAGATCCTAGCTACACAGGAGTTGCAGCGGTGGGAACTAGAGGTGGGAATGGTCTTGTTATATTCTCTTATCTCTCCCACCCTTTTTTGTATCTTCATGACCCGTTTAGATTTCAGTATAAATTAACAATCAAGGCTAGACTGAAGCTCACGGGTTTATAAATTTTCCAATGTTGAAACTTAGTTGAAAATTCAAATACAGGTTTAAATCTACTATTTACATACTTTATTGTGCATTAAGCGATATTTCATAATATGGGCTTAAATGTCTCGAGTGAAAAGGTTAAAAAGGGTTCTAAGGCTAATTCTGTCAGATTAATCTGTGCTCTAGACTATCGGAAATTCCCGGGAGTTCTAAACCCAATTATACGTGTGATCATACATTCGTTATAATATAACGAATTAATTCGTTATAATATATCCCATCAAAAACAATACTTGTCAAAAAAACCAAGTCTCGCAACTCAGTTGTTCTACGGTAAAAAGTTGTGAGATCCATGTAATACCAAGTCCAGGCCAGGAAATCTTTAACGTTTTACATAAATTATTGACTTGGCCATCGCACTAAATAATTTAATTTACACGTGTTTTCATGCGATGGCCAAGTCAATATATTTATGTAAAACGTTAAAGATTTCCTGGCCTGGACTTGGTATTACATGGATCTCACAACTTTTTACCGTAGAACAACTGAGTTGCGAGACTTGGTTTTTTTGACAAGTATTGTTTTTGATGGGATCTCATTTCTTTTTGTATTTTGTAGACAGCAGTTATGTATCTAGAAAACTGGACCGAAATTGAAAAATTTTACTCGACTTGGCGGTTGCACTACCGTGCCCCCAAATATTTTAGTTTTTCCTTGATTCATACACCAAACACTACTTATATTCCAAATTTGAAGCTTCTAGGTCTGCTAGAAGTGCCTTAGAGTTTTGATGATCGGTGAGTCAGTGAGTCAGTGAGTCAGTGAGTCAGTCAGTGAGTGACAAAATTAAGTAACTTTGACCCGTTATAATTCTTAAACTACTGGTTCAAATTGAATGAAATTTTAAATATACCGTGTCTTTACAATGCCTGCATAGCTAATGAAAATTCAGCCTTCTAGTTTTATCCACAACGAAGTTACAGGCGGTCGAAAATGGCCTGAATTGCTTCGAGAAAAGGATGGTACGGCCGTGCCGCTTTTTTGCTCGACTTGGTGGGGGCACTGCCGTGCCCCCAGATACATAATGCTGCTTATTGAGAGTTTCGAAGTAGTGCCTGGTTCGGAACAAAATGTATTCGCGCCATGAGATGACTGTCTTTTGTACTCGTATTAGACCACGAGAACTGTCAAGGATAAGTTCGATCAATTAAGTCGACGAAGTCTCAAATTAGTAAGTTCCTACCGCAACAGATTGAGACAAGTTTTCTACTTACAAAGCGACCCCACTTTTTAGTTGGCTATTTTCTCGAGTATTCGAAAACAAGCTCATTAAAAGAAACCGCAGAATACTTTTATCAAATTAAATATTTATAAGAAACCCAGTCGAGTGGGACCGAAAGTTCTCATTCAATTTGGTATGTTTTCTCTCATTAAAGTCTGGCTCGAGTAGTTTTGGGGTAATTCTCCACGGAATAGGTGTTTTAAGTGTTCTTTTATTCTTCCAATTTCGTGTGTAATTTCGAACGTTCCAGAAAACATGCTGAACTGAGAACGGAAAATAATTTATTTTCTTAGAACAGATCTTGTTAGTATATGGATTTTCATGCAGTCACAGTATATTAGGTACCTAATGGTACTTGTGTTATGCTTGAAAATAAATACTTCATATTTACTTATACTGTAACTGTAACTGTAACTGCAGTTGTAGAGGAAAACATGTAAAACTCATGTTTTCTTTAGACGCGACGAAAGATTCCGAGAAAAAACAAGACAGTATTTGCACAACGAAATCACTACCAGAGTTATAAAATTAAAATATTTCTTATTCATTTAGTTATAATCTGAACTTATCCATGATCTAGCCGTAAAAAATGTAGAAAATCTATACTCAAAAAGGTTTTACTTATCAAGAAACACCATTTAACCTCATTTTATTTCGCAGTGCTAACGACAACGACCACTACGACTACAACGACGACAACAACAACGACCACCACGACGACTACTACGCCGACACCGACCACCACACTGTCGCCATGTGAGTTACAACAATATTGTGATTTTGTTGCAAAGTAGAACGTATTGCAACTACATAAGATACCATAGTCATCAAGGTATACTCTACTACGGTATCTTAGGCGGGTTATAGAATCGCGCTGACCGCTCGCTGATCGTCGGCGCTGACAGATCAATATGTATGTAATTGAAGGGAACGTTCCAGAGTGACGATGATCGCTCGGCGCCGTCGATTCATACATTTCAGCTGTCAACGCTGACGGTCAGCGTGCGTCAGCGTGACTCTAAAACTAGCCTTAACTTGGGTTGATAAATGTGCCTTTATTCGTAATCTGCACTGCATAAAATATTTACACGGTACTAAGCTTTATGTATTTTCTTTCGTGTAGGTTTTTAANGGAGAAGAAATATGAAATAATGGTTATAATCAAAATAAACCAGCAAACAAGCCGATTTGACCGCTTAAAATTACTGTGTGTTACAATAGAGTCAAAACAGCCTATAGCAAGTGCCTGAAAACACTGTGCTAAGATGGAGAAGACTTTGCTCAATATGACTCATAAGCGCCCATTGTACAAAACTTAGTACACCCCTGAAAACCTAACTTCTGATTTTGTTTTTGGTTTTCTTTCTGTTTAGTATTATTTCTGAAGTATTTTTATAAAGAAAATAAACATTGGCTATGTGAAATTGACCGTAGTTTTCATTTGGGCGTTAATGGGTTAAAAACTCTGTGTTCGTAATATAAAGGTGACTTTAGAATTCTAGATGATACGTATGTATAACCTAAGACGTTTGAGGCGATTATCACACTGCGCCGCGCTCCGCCGCGGTACGCGGGACGACAGATTTAATCATTGTATGCAAGTAGGTACCTCAGTTTGTATAGAAAACACGCGCGGCACAACACACTAACAACGCGTCTGCGCGCGGAATTTTTTATATGAAATCTCGCAGACCGCGGCGGAGCGCGGCGCAGTGTGATAATCGCCTTAAAGCAAATTTAAGTGTGAACGACGTGTGTTAGTAATAATACAATTTACATAACTTGCACACACCATAATAATGTTACATTGCTATGACGTGTTTTCGTCGCTTTACTTGCGCCTCGTAATTGAAAATTAATTTCTAGGTAGGCTAACTGTCTATTTTTAGCAGTATTCCAGTCTATTTTTACACACTTTGTTAGGCTTTAGGACGGAAATTTCCTTTTCAAATATACCAATTTTGTAAAAGCTGAACCTATAATAGAAATAGAAACTCTTCATTGAATTTTATTGCGAAATAAGTTTTAACTTCGTCCCATTTTTTTATAGCGTTTAAACTACTTAACAAATTCTTGGAATAAATTGTATAAAATTTTAGTTTTCTAATTTTATTGAAAAACGAGTACTAATTGAATGAAATTAAAATATCTGAGTACCTACTTACGAGAACCGTTTAGTGAAATTAAATCGGATGGGAATGCAGAATCAAGAGTATGTTTTCAATTTGAGTTCGTGTTATTTATTATGTACGTGCTTCACTGAAACCTCTTAGAGATAAACCGAGTCATAAACGTCTAGAGGTCGTCGGAATGACCTTATCTATTTTTGTTTTTATCGTTTATTAGATTTGAATAATGAAGTAATCTAAAAACGGCGCAATTATTGAGATCTCTCACAATATTGCTTGAAGCTCGAAGCGGAGTAACTCAAGTACGTACGTGCTCATTACTATAAGCGATAAAAAACAAATTGACGTCTTTCACTACAATATGATAATGGTATATGTATGTATGTCTAATTACGATTGAGTCCAAGGACTAGATGTGCATATTAATGAATCAGAGAGCCTGTTCTATAGTTCTATAGATATTACACTTTAAACATTACCCATATCACCTATTTATACTTGAAGTGTATGTTACACTTCAAGCATAAATAGGTCGATCCTAGGGATCTCCCGTTTGGTTCAGTGTCTGTATAAGCTGTATAAATCTACAATGTCTCGATAATTCTTTGGATATTTATTTTATTTTTGTTTTGTTGCCTAGTTGACAGCGACAGCCAATTGGAGCAGCTCCACCGAGGAGTGCTCCAAGATCCGGACCTGGACAACCCGTATATCGTGCTAAGCCAGCACCAAATGCAGAATCTTGGTAAGTATGGTAAGTGTTCTAACAAAATCTGCAATTTAAAGCTGTTGAGAATCGGATACAGATTTAAGCGATTATAAAAATAAACTTGTATTAAAATAAGGCCCAAATTAGATGTTATTTCTTTCTTTTATGTTATTTCTAATTTCTAAACCCTGCAGTTTCCCAGTAATGTGCCATGAAATATAAAATATTTTACTCTTTTTACATACCAGCAAACGCTTAGCGTAGCTGCGGACAGATTTTATAGAAACACTTTTCCTGGAATTCCAATAGAAAAAGTATCAGGTGGTACTTCTAGAAAATGAGTTGTGTAAAATGCAGAATATAATTATAGGGCTTGTGAATAGGGTTAAATACTAATAAAGCGTTCCAAATTATACAAACATAAACTGGTGAAAGATTTATACATACTCTGTTTGAATTTGCAACTCAGAAATAACAGGCTTTTGTTACCAAGAACATCCTAAGCAGGCTCGTTATTGCGAATTTTTCGAATTTTATCAATTTTTAATTATTATGTTCTGAAAACTCTATTTAAATGTTTTCACATAATTAGCAAATACCTAATTGAACTGTAGGTATATTCAAATCTATTTTACTGTCAGCAAGTGCAGCGTGAGACGTCCACTCAAAAGGTGGACAGATGACCGTTTAAAGGTCAGTACAGAAATCATTGTTACATCACATCCATTCCAGAACATGGTCTATGGAATGGATGTCCTGTGTTCGAGATCTGAAGAAGACGATACTGCAACTATCTATCTTTCTGTGGTACAGAAATGGTGACAACAATGTGACCCGACGCCGGGCGCGGCCACTGGTCGGAAGGCTGGCCGCCCCTGCACGGCGCCGCGCCCGCCGCGCCGCCCGCCTGGTGCGTCTGGGCGGCGCTGCTGTTGTACCGCGCGTGATAGTGCTCGCACAAGGATTGCAAACAAGGTTGTTCTAGTTTATGAAGGTTGTATATAAAATGGTGGTACCTACATCGAAGTGGTGTTATGCACATAATTTGAATCTCGGTAATATTTTTTGTAACACGTTCTTTTTTGTCTTAATTCGTCCCTCGCATGACTAACTGATCTTATCTCAGTTTTGCCACTTTCTCAACACCACTGGTTTTCAGTTAGGTCATTTCGAATTTAGTTTCTGTTTATACTTTACGGTCCTTGTGGAAGGAAAAATAGGTACATACATATACGTGAGTTAGAGAAAATCGTAGACAATGGAAGCAGGAAAAAATTTGTAGTCCTAACGGACTTTGTCCTATCGAATCCTAACGGATTTGATAACTCAAGTCCGTTAGGAAATCGCCAAAAGACTGAGATAGGATAGTTAGTCATGCGAGGGACGAATTATTCAGATAGTCCATTAATTAAAGTAGACTTTATACACATTTTAATGTTTCTTTCGGCTTTGTTTTTTGATGTTGTTTTTTTGTAACCAGATAACAATATGACAGTGAAAGTAAGAAACATACTTTAACGCCAGAAAATTAGTTTTTTTTTTCATGTAAGTGCAATTTTTAATTCAATTGGTTATGATGAAGTATGATTTCATTAATATTTAGGATATAATTATGTAAATATTCTCTTGCGTCCAATTTCCGCAATGTTTTTCAGTCACTACAATATAGAGTTGTATGTAGCATTGCGTTAATAGGGTTCTGTTTTCATTTCACAAATGAAATATTAATATTCAATAAGTTATTAATTTTATAGTGCGTTGTTTTTTTAAAAGGACTGCTACTAATTACAGTTTTGTATCATTTATTGTATATACTTTAGACGTATTTATTATTCTAGTATAATGTAAGGTCTGCTGTAAATAATTTTGCACGAAGCTAGCCATATCAAAATATAGGACACTGGCAATGTGTGTAAAAACTAAGTAAAAATAATTAATTGTTAGTATGTACTCTTTCACCCCCAATTTGTGTGAAGTGACCCTTGAACGACTGATTGGTGTTGAGAAGTGTGAATAAAGGCGTTTCTCTTTTGTTTATAGCTCTAAGGCTGGGTTGCACCATCTTACTTTAACTATAACAAACGTCAAAATTCTGTCCAACTTCATAAAAAAATCACCGATTATGGTTTAGTTACTGTTAAAGTAAGATGACGAAACTCAGCCTAAAAGTTTTCATTTCAAGAGTGATCCAGTGAACTAACGTTAAGGACTAGTGCTATTGTAAATTCTAACTCTCTCTCAAATCTATAGGATACGGTACTACACTCGGTTGTTATTCGTCACAGTTAACCATTACTTTGTCCCAGACAATATTATTATTGTTACATGTAAATGAAACCAAAATTATAAATTGTATCGAATGTTCCGTTGTGAAAAATAAACATTTGAAATTATATTTGGACTTTTTATTTTGAAAAACTTAATACCTATTAATCGAGACCATAATTAAGGACTAAAATTCTATTATTTTAACGTATTTTTTATTAATTTACCTTAACATTTTGTTAACTTTAACAAGGGAAACATTATGACTAAAATTCTAACATAATGAAAGAAGGCTGCAAAGTATCGTCATACGCTAGACCCGATTTGATATAAAAATTTTATACGTAAGAAAAAACACAACAATTCTAGGTTCAAAATAATTCATGATTAATTTAAAATTCATGCGCCAACAAAAACGCCGTAAAATCAAATATACCTTTCCCCACAACGGCGTTAACTCAAACTTTGCGACCTACTATTAACCCTCTGAAATGCCCCTCAAAATTAATAGGGACCATCATAAATTAGGAAATACAGGTACTTACGTGCATTAAGGGGTCTAAAGTGTCCAAGCGGCGTATAAACGCGAATGGCACCATTTTAGACCCTTTTTAAGGCCGTTTGCCACGTGCGGGCGGGGACATTAAATCTTTGACGGCAGTGGAGGGTTGAGCCTTTTTAACTGTATCTTGTTACGTGGTAATGTTTGGATTTTGCAAACGGTGACAGTTTGACTGATATTTATTTAAAAGAAAATAATTTATTTGGAAAAACCTAAAAAACTTTAAATTCTTCTTTCAAATAGCGTTTTTATGTAATTAAGATAATATGTACAAGTTATTTCGAAAGTCACATTAAAGAACCCATATAAATTGCATATTAAATCGTGTGCCTTTTGTAAAGTAACACAGAAAGGGTAATTTTTTCTTTATTTTTTACACATAATAATATATTTGAAACGTGAGAGACGTTAAATGGCTTCTTGGAACGCCATTTCTGCTTGTAAATTGAATAACTTTATTTTACAGAATAAAACAAGATGCAGGATTCTATAATATGGCTCATTAGATCTTAATTTTCTTTACTGGAACAAAGTGCAAAATTACTTTCAAGATTTTTCGTTGCACAACTTTGCATAAATAAAAGTGCAAAAGGAGAAAATAAACTAATTTATTTTTGCAAATAGGCTTTTTGAAAGTCCTTTTACACGTCCCAATATTAACCCTACCACTGTTTCGGTACAATAAATGGGCCAGTGCTGAGAAGAAGCAGCGCAAGAAACTCAGTCACTATTGTCAGCTATAGTAGAACTTTAATGTGATAATCACTTTCGTCTATCGTCAACAGATCAGAACAGTTGTCAGCACATTATAATTCCGAGCCTAATGGTCATACTTGGGAAACCAAAGCGCCAAAACACATAGAGGAATGTTTAGAGGGGGGATGTATGGGACCTTTCGGGACTTTGTTCCCGGATGTTTATGACGGTGATTAAGGAGGGTCTGCCGCTATCTAAATAGTTCGTTGTCACCTATAGACTTATTTTTATTAAAAACTAGCTTTTGCCCACGGCTTCGTCCGCGTGAAAGGCATGATTCTGTTGTATAAGTAATAACTGTAAAGTTTTATCGAAATCCGTATAATGAAAAGTTACTTGTTGATCAATTACTTATTTATTCAGGATACTAATTTATACATTTCCAACATTATAACACCTTAAAGTTAGTAGTACTTCTTGCTTCAAATACTCCAATCGAACTGCCTGTCCGGCGGCATGCCCGCGATAAGGCAACTTCCCCTTCCATTCGTCAAAGTCAACCGGCTCGAAACGACTTATCGACAGCATGCCCCGGAAGTAGTCAAAATCAATACTTAAATAACAATTTATTTCTAAATTACTAAACTGTATACAATAAAAATTCTAAAATAATTACATTAAATAATAAACATGAAATATGTAATTGAATATAATACAGAATAAATTCTGAAACCATTATAATATCTGCAACAATGTCCAGGAAGTAATCAAGTAAAGTATTTAATTTTAATAATGGGTTTTTAAATTCTACCAAAATTATTACAATAACTATCTATAAGCAACTAATAATCGTATAAAATACAATATTAATTCTAAAATCATTACAAGCAAAATTGCTGTTTTCAACTCACTGGTTCGGTCGGGATTAGAGTATGGTAGTGTCGTTTGGACTCCTTTTTATGAAATACATAAACGCAGAGTTGAATCAATACAAAAGAGATTTCTTTGGCATTTGTCATATCAACATAAATTAGCTAAACAGCTCCCAAGCTACAATACACGCCTAAATTATTTTAAACTGTATAGCTTGGAAGACCGCAGGAAAATATTGGATAGTCTATTCCTATACAAAATAATAAATGGTTACATAGATTGTCCTGATCTCATTAGACAGATTAAGTTCAATGTTCCCTTCAAACTAGCTCGGTTGTCCAGGTATCTGCCGTTTAAAGCAAATGGTTTTAGGACAAATCTGGGTCATTTCTCCTCTATCAACAGGATTCAGTCACAATTTAGCAACCTGTCACGTTCGTCCGGGGCCAGCGTTGATATGTCATCTTCGCTACGTAAGTTCAAAAAACAAATTTCTGAATTGTATACTCCGACGGTTAGTAAATAATTTATTGTTTTGCATTCTGTCACTTTGGCAACGTTACTATTTTCCAACATTCTGTGCATGTCGTTTAATTAAGGCAACACCTTAGCTTAATTTATTTATAAGGATACTGTGAATGTATGGTGTATGTTTTGTTGGTTGTCCTTAAATAAATAAATAAATAAATAAATAAATAAATAAATATTTATCTTGAAATAGATACAAAAAGAGTTAGTTGCGCACGGTGTAGATTTGAACACCCGACTCCTGGATTTAGCACGTCGCTGTACACGATACGCCACCGAGTCCGTTAAGCGAGTGTGTGAAATTATCAGTCTGTAGTTGTTTACAAACAAACGTTTACTGGTACGTTTTGAATTGGGAGTTAATTTTTCGTACACCTTCACTATTAATACTTGTTGAGTTTTTCTTGATTATAACAGTTTATTTTATTTATTTTGACTTTGTTGAGTAGCAATTAGTAATTTATCATTGTTTTAGCACTATTTTACACACTTAAGAGTTTTATTTTAACATTCAGTATTTTCGTCTTTATCCCAAGAACACTATTATAGTTTTCGCCACAAACACTGTCACTGAATATTTGGTCAATGTTTCACATGTTTTTCACATTTTTTCGTCAAAAAGATAGCTTTAAACATTCATAAGTGCCACTTGTGGTCTAAACTGAATAAATATTTTTTGATTTTGATTTTGATTTTGATTTTGATTTTTAAAATTTAAAAGTTCACGGAGCTTATGTTTACTCTGGCAGTGGCGCCATCTCATTTCTAAGAAATTAAGAATAGAAATGTATTTATACTTAGTTACACACTGTTATTTTGATAATGTTTAGTATGCACTAACCTACTTTTAATAAAATACCTAAGACACAGGCAAACAATTTTGCTTAGTTTAGGTATTAATAATTTTACCTTCGCACACTAACCTTAATTTAAGTAAGTGAAATCAAATGTATCTAGGCTAAGTTTTATTAAGTAATAAATTTATTCTTATTCTTATTCTTATTCTTATTCTTATTC